GCCTTCTCACATCTGGCAAACTTAAAACCTTAAATAAAGAGCCAAAAGCTGTGGCTGCTGCTTCGTATTTTGAGGGGAAAAAAAAAGCTTGTTTTTCTGAACTTGGTGAGAACTCTGACTTTATAAGAATTTGTGGAATAATATGAACCTTCTCCTGGGCTAAACGCAGACACGAATGAAAGTCTACAGAAAATTCAGTTTGTGTCTCGGAAACACGTTCTTGACTTCTTGAAAATGCTCATGGAAAAATCTGTCCATAAATAACCATGTCCCGGTAGCAGTAACTTCAGTGAGTGGCTGTGAGTGGAAGTGCATGCGGTTCCACTGAAATGCCAGGATTGCTGCCTGCTCCTGCCCTGCTCCCCTTGTGTTACATGGTCGGTAATGTCTGTGTGACCTTACATGTGGCAGGTTGTGTTGCTGCCACCTGCAAAGTGACTAGGGAGCCACACCCTGAGTACCTGACAGGGTTAAGGTGGAAGGAGGTTGGAGGACCGAAACTTTTTTAATGAAGTCTTTTTTTTTTTTTTTTTCCCCCAGTAAAAATAAACAATAAAAATGTGTTTTGCAAACAGCTGATGGTTAAATGTATTTCAGTAATTCTATTGTTTAGACATTCATAATGCGAGTGGAAATACATCTCAGTGTCTTACTTGAAGAAGTTTTCTAACATTAAATTGCACTTAATTTAATTTTGCAGAGATTGCATGTTATAGTTTTTCTTACTGGGTTTATTTCTCTTTCCTCTCTTGGTTAAATTCTGAAAATGTTGCCTGGAATAAATTGTCTCAAGTAGCAGATGCTGAGAATGGGGGATTACATCCATGGTTCCAGCTTGACCCATCAGCTTCAAGGAGTTTAATTACTTCCAAACTTGTCCTGTTGAAAATAGTGAATTTTATCAGTATTTGTTTGAAACATCACAGTTTTTTTCCTACTTGGTAGGTGATTTCTGCCAAAGGAGAAGATAAATGCAGGAATCTATTGTATTAAGAAATATAAAGTAGTTCATGCATCATGGATTTGTTGAAGCTAGTTTCACTGTGTGTGTTTTCAGGGGTAGGAATAAAATCGCTGTAAGTGAAACTGGATAAGAAAAACAGGGCATTTCTGATCAGGCTTTCTCTAATGAGCCTCCTTGTAAAACACTCTTGCCCCTCCTGTACCCCAGTTGCCTAGAAAATGCTGGATAGCTGAGGAACTGGTAACTTTTGCCATGTGAGAAGGGTTGTGCCCAGCTTTGTGCAGATGTAAATGCTCATGTTTGGAAGATGACAGTAATTAAATGGATTTCTGACCAGTTTGGCTTGCGCTGCACTGAATTCTACTTTGAATTCAGCCTATCTGTTCACTCACCACATGAACTGGTTTAGTTTTCTTTTTCACCCTCCCTGTAGACTGCCGACAGATGAGCTCAGAAAGTGCTCCATGTGCTGCTTGACATCAATTGCTGAAGAACAGACTTGGGTAGATGTTGAGTTTGTCAGTGTATCTATAATGCTCTTTTATGAACAACACCTTGATGAATACTTCACTGCTCATCTCTTCACCACAAGGCCTTAGTTTCCTTTGGCTTTCTCCTGTTCTGTCAGTAGCACTTTGAGTTGGATTTTTGGGAACTGCCAGCATGCAGTTCTGGTTTGGGTGATGCAAGGGATCAGACTGTGAAGGTGTCAGGGGCAGCCTTATGGGCATAAAGGTCAGTGAGCAGAAGAACTTTCTTTTAAATCAATGCAGGCTGCATCGTCTTTGTGGTTAAACTCCAAACCCCTTAGGTCAAGTGTAGCTCTTAAATTTTTCACTGTGATAGTGTATGCCTTTCTTGCATCAGTAAATATAACACTCTGCACTGAACAGTTCACAGATATGTGCTCTAGTTTCTCTCTTTGGCTGTACTTTACCTGGAATTAATCCAAAGATGAAGTGAATTTTGTTTTGCTAGCCTCTTTCTGCATCTTACACTGCTGCTTGAGAGGGGTTGAGTGACCACTAAGGAAAAGGGTTGTTCCACTCATTTCCTATCTAGCTGTTCCCCTGCAGATATCCGGTTCACAAACACACTATGATTATTTGATTACATGAAATACAAACCCACCCAGAATTTTGTAGCATTACAATGTGTTTGGTTAATGTAGTGGTGCCCTGTGTTGTTAAACACAGTTGGCATGTCTCCAGACACATTGTGTATTTGTTAATATATGTGCATGAGCTTAAGCCTAAGGGGTTGAAGTCTTTGTAGAAGCAGGATTAAGGGCAAGGTTGTGCCAGTCGGGGTGTGCAGACACCACCTGGCAGGCCACATCTCTGGCGTGTTCTCCTCTGGCAGGAAGGATGGTAGGGCAGAGAACACTGGATCAGATTTACAACTGGAGTAAATGGTGCATAATGCTTAGCAAGTCTTTTTGTCCCTTTTGCATAGAAGCTTTGTGACTTGATAATGTATTTTCCAGTAGGATAAAATGTTTATTTCTAGTTCTGGTAGTTCCAAGACATTAGTTCCCAAAAATTAGACTTTGTTTGGACTTTACAGAGGGCAAGTGAATCCTTTTTCTCATTCAGCCCCAGCCCATGAAATGATAGCAAAAAAATTCCATGAATTCTATTTTGTAGGTATATAGAGACAGATAAATACAGTTTTAAAGGCCACTGTGTAAATGTGTTGTTGACAATTATCCCTTCTCTGGGATAGGGAGCCTAATTAATTTGTGACTTTGTCAGTTTATACCCGAACCCATTTTGCTGCACCATAATGTTATCTCTTTCTAACAGACTTAGATTATTCAGAACTGATTCAGCTTAAACAAATAAAAATTAGAAAACAAACCTTTACTCCATCACTGCCTGACTGAGCTTTTGCTTTAGGGAAGTTTACCTGAGCTTGGATAGCTTTCACTCATCTCTGTATGCCTTTTCAAATTTTGTAGCACAAAAAGCTTCTTACTCTTAAAACTTTGACGGGGTACTGTAGAAAAAGTATGCATAAATAATGGTCAGTGGTGTAGTTTGTGTGCTTGTAGCCTCCTAAAATATAAATGGAAAACTTGCTCACTGTTTAAAATGTACGGTTTAAAATATTCATGAGGCTTGTCCCTGTTTGAAAAACAGATTTTAAATATTATCAGTGACCATTTTGATTAGTCCCAGCTCAAGCAAAGTCTTAATTTCAAGGATGTCTATAAAGAATCCACTTGACTGCAGATTGACCCTGGGCTTTTTAGTCACCCCAGTTACAGAGATGAGAAAAAGAAACTAAATGCTACATTTGAATGAACAAATTGCAGGGACAGACTGGGGAGGAGAGTAGAGTGGGAGCATAAAATCTTGGCACTGAAAGATATATTTATTAAAAATACCTCAAAACGGCTTCTTTATAGACTTCGGTTCTGAACAATGCGGGATTTGATTTAGTTCATCAGTAAAGATAGGAAGCAAAACAAAGGCCACTTTGTCATGCCAAACTTCCAGAAATATACCCACATCACAATGGCATGCAGCACAGTTTTTTCATACTGTTTTTGGCTCAGACTGGGTTTTCGGTAAGAACAGAAATTGGCAAAAACAGCTTCTTTGCTCAGGGAAGAATAACTTCTGTTGATCAGAGATTTTTTTTGAGAGACTTTTAATTAGACCAGTGCTGTGAAGACTGCAGTCTAAGGAGTTCAAAACAGATATATAAAGTACTTTTCAATTCCTCATATTTCCTCATCATTTCAAAGTCAGTGGGGAGCTAAGTCTCAAACTGATGCCGTAGTTTAACTCTGCATAGTTGTTTTTTTCCTACCAAGTTTGAGTCACTGTGGCCATCTAGACCCTTCTTGAGAGATTAAAATGATGGAAAGCTGAAATACATTCTCCAGTTAAATGAGTTAATGTTTTTATTCAAGCATGGATTCAGATTTCCCCATGCTTTCCTGTAAGCGTGTGGGATGGACGAGAATTATTTTTAATTCCATAATAAATAACTGCAGAGCTTGACTAGGAGTGAGTTCACTGGCAGTGACTAAAAAGTAGCCAGTGAGAGAATAAGGGTGACTTTAGGCTCTATTTGGGTTTAAAGCCTGGTCCAGATTCAGTGATTAAAAGCCACACAGGATGCCTCAGACAAAAAGAGGCTTATCATCAGTGGAAATGCTCCCAAACCGTATTACTAGTCCCACTGCCTGATATATCATTGTCAGCCTCTGCAGAAGAGGAATGAAAGAAATGCAAAAAGGAGTGAAACCTCTTAGCAGAATAATGCAGTGCCCAGGTACCTGGGGAAGAGCTGGGCTCAGCTTCTGCCTGAGTCATTTGGTACATATAGCAGATGTTTGCACAGCTAATTTCTTGGCCAGCGTGTCTACCTGCATTACATACTATGTGGGAAGCTAAAGAGAAAGCCTGGGATTGTTGTTTGGGTGTCTTATTCCCTACACTGGGGCTATCTGAGTTGGTGTGCCTGTGTTAGATATATTGAAAAAGGGTTTCTGTTTTGAGGGAAAGGGGAGGCAGGCCAGAGGTTGCAGCTATGAGTTGGATTTGCTCCTAAGGCACTGTGCTTCCCATGTGTGCTCACTGGAATGGCCTAGGCTGAGTGACGAAGCAACCTGTCTTGGTGGTGGTTTGGTGACTGTGCTCTTCCAAGAGCTTGCATTTATTCTTTGCTCCTTCTTCCCCTTTATTAGAAGTCCCATGTACTTATACTAAGATGCAATGTGTATGGAATTGTTTTTTCTAGTCAGCTTTCAAGCCTGTGGACTGTCTGGACCTGTGGGCATTGTTGTTCAAAACTATTTGAGAGAGGAAGCAGAGCATTGGCTATGCATAAACTGTCTCTCTGCACAGGGATAAGTTTTAATTCATATTTTATGTAGGAATGTGCATGTATCTGAAGGGCCAGGAAGGGGGGAAGACACATTTGCCTTTACAGCTGCTGGCAGCAATGAAATGCAGCAAGACTTGATTGAAAACACCTATCTTATTGTTATACTAACTGCATTTTTTTCCTTTCTCATTTGTAGGTCTCAGACTCTGGATACTTGGCTGTGGGATTTTTTTTTATTACTATTATTTTTGATTGGGTTTTTTTCCCCTTTTCGGATGTGAATTGAAGGCCAACAGTTGAAGTGTTGGAAGCAAGTTACAGGAGGACTCTCGCCTTTTTCTTTGAACCCTTGTTTGCTGGGATACTTTCAAGCCCTCCTTCACAGTCATGTGGTCATCACAGCTGCTGTTCTTCACAATGCTCTTAACACCGATTGCCCATGGTGAGTGAGAGATGGTGTAAATTTGCCTGTGGGAAGGGAAGAGAGAAAAGAAAAGAAAATAGCAAGGATTTTGTCTGTCTTTTCCTAACGGTGTGGGTTTTTTCCAGGATGTTGATTTCTCTTTCTCTGCTTCCACCTCAGGTATTTGAATTCCCAGGCTATATTATGCGTAGTTAAGTACTGAAACAAAGAACTCTGACACATAAAGGTTTCTGTTACTGAGTTTAGCTGCTGCATTAAGGCAGAGTGTCTTCCTCCATGCCTAAGCCTGCTCTGTTGGCTGTGTCACTGGGACTGTCTCTCCTGGCCTCTACATGGAAATGAATTTCCCTTCTGTGAATACTGCTCAGTTAAGGGGCTGCATGTCCTGCTTTAGCCACAGCTCCAGGGTGGGATTTTACTCACCATCATGTTGGGCTGTGATTTCATGCACTGCAGTGGATATTTCTGTGCTCTGCTGAAAGACCGAGGCTCCCATAGGCTCAGGGACTCTGCACCAAAAAGAACCGCAACCAAGAGTGTTGCCTTAGCCTAGCACACTGTGTAACCCACCCAGCAGCATGGAGAACCACGATGCACAGCCAGGCTGCAGCTGAGAACTGCGGGAATAGCGTCAGGCACAGCTGCTCTGCTGTAGGGATGGATGAGCTTGTGGTGGGCTGACCCTGGCTGGATGCCAGGTGACCACTAAAGCTGTTCTATCACTCCCCTCCTCAAGTTGGACAGGGGAGAAAATACAATGAAAGGCTTGTTGGTCAGGATAAGGACAGAGAGAGATCCCCCAGCAATTACCATCAAAAGTAAAACAGACTCAACTTGGGGAAGAACTGATTTATTACCAATCAAATCAGAGTAGATTAATGAGAGATAACAAATCTTTAAAACACCTTCCTCCCACCCCTCCCTTCTGCCTGAACTGAACTTACTCCCAGTTGTCTCCACCTCCTCCCCGTGTGCAGGGGGACAGGGAAATGGGAGTTGTGTTCAGCTGATCACACCTTGTTTCTACTGCTTATTCTTCCTCAGAGGGAGGACCCTGCATACTTTTCCCTTGCTCCAGCATGGGGTTCCTCCTTGGGATCACAAATCCTGCCATCAAACCTGCTCCAGAGTGGGCTCATCTCTCCTCGGGGTCACAGCATGGCCCAGTGTAGGCTCTCCATGGGCACACAGACTCTTCCACTGGCTGCGGGTGGATCTCTGCTCCACTGTGGCCCTTCATGAGCTGCAGGGGGACAGGCTGCTTCACTGTTGTCTTCACTATGGGCTACAAGGGAATCTGAATCTCTGCTCTGGTGCCTGGAGCACCTCCTCCCCCTTCCTCAATGACCTGGGTGCCTGCAGAGCTGTTTCTCTCACACAGTAGCAACTTTTTCCCCATCTTAAATGTGTTATCCCAGGGGTGCTACCACAGTTGCTGATAGACTTGGCCTTGGCCAGTGGCAGGTCCATCCTGGAGCCAGCTGGCACTGCCTCTGTCAGACATAGGAAAGCTTCAAGCAACTTCTCTCAAAGCCACCCATGTAATTCCCACCCAGCCCCTTGAAACCTGGCTACCCAAACCCCATACAGAGCTCTAGGAGAAAAATTTGGTCTTTTTATTAGCCAGGAAACTGTTAAGTGAAATCTGATACATGTAATTCTTTGAAGTAAGATTTTGAGGCCTGGGGTTGGGTTCTTTTTCTATGAGAAACCAAAATGTAAGCCACAGAAGTAAGCTGCCAGGTTTCATGAGTGCTGAAGCATTCAGGAGCTCCTATTAGGGGTGATAGTTACGAAATGCTCAGAGCAGAGCTTTAGAAAATCTGGCTGCCTGATTTCCCAGGTGCCTAAGTGGAAGGTGAACTCCACCAAGGATCTCATTTTAATTACAGGTCAGTGGATGCGTGTTTGTAAATAACATGACTCCCGGTATGTAACCTGTGGGCCCCTGCTTTAAAATATTCATCAGGCTTTTTGTGCTTTACGAACTGATCCTTTGTATATGTGGTAAGACACCAGAGCAAAATTTTACAGCAAGAGAAGGTGATTAGAAAATGAAATATATGTAATTGGCAAAACATATCTATAGAGCACGACCTGTTGCTGATATAACACCTTTGGGCACAAAGGTTATCTGTACTATCATTCTGCAAGTAAAACTCCTCACTGACTTGAAAATTAGAATGAATATTTAAACTGAGTTGATCAATTGGGGTGGAATAAAAGAGCCATTAGGAAAGGTGCTCTCCATACCTTTCCAGGAAAGTTAAATGGCAAATGTTTTGTAAATCTTTATAATTAAGCAGTATTAACAGTTAAAGCAATTAACAATTTAAATATGCCTCTGGCAGTTCTGGTTTAAATTCTCAGTGCCACTGTAGCTGGAAAGTCCTGCCTGATAGTCGCAGTAAATGAAAATGTCAGAAGTATCCTGGGAGCCGTATTATGCTACAGATGAGCAAATGCCAGAGATGCAGAAACTAGATGCCTGGAAATATTTCTACCCTTTATGTTCTTCTACAGACTAAATGTAGAGGGTGTTTGCTGTGATATCACACATCTAACCAACACACATGTTATCTAATCCCTATAAATTGCCAGTGAAAGTGCAGTAGGGGCTCACAACTGCCTTTGAACAGTGGAGGATGAAGACCTTTGGTCTGAGCTAAAGAACTTGTTTTGATTCTCTCTGTTTTGATTTCTAAGAGTGGCCAGGATGCAGCTTCCACCTCAGAACTTTTGGGGGAAGCAGGTACTGAGAATTTGTCTGGTTGTTTGAGGATGATGCATTCCTGTTCCTAAGTGAGGGGAGAAGGTTTAGATGTGTGATGTTCGATGAGTACGTTTGCTATCAGCTAGCACTGGGCAGTCAAACCCCTTCAGTCTCCTGTGTGGAAGGACGTGCACGTAAAACTCAGAGTTCCACTGAAGGTCAAATTGAACAGTCCAATGGGGCTTCCAAGGCTTTGAAATCAGAGACTGAATATCTGATGCTTTCAGGTGCTCTCCCTTGTTGCCTCTCTCCCTGCAAGTGCCTGCAAGAGGCTGTCTAAGGTGAATGACAAGCTGGTATCAATGCAGTTTTTATGCCTGAAGACAGCATATTTGTATTTAAACAGATGCCACAGCCTCACCTTCCTTATAAAAATAGCCCAGTTAAACCCTGCTTTTTTTTTGTTGTTTTTATTTCCCCTTTAGTAGTCCCTTTTCACTGTATGCAGAAAGCATTTGTAATTTACCAGGACTCAAAGCATTTGACTTCTCATTTCATGATCTGGAATGATTCCTGTCCTGTAGTGATTGCTGGAGTTGATACAAACTACTTTTTCAAACTGACCTTGCTGCATCTCGTTCTCTTTTTGAGTTTCCTGACACAGCTTCTTCATCTGTAGTAGTAGTTGCATTATAGACAGATTTCTTAGACCAGTGATCTCATAAATTGGAGAGGTGGTGATGTTGTTTTTGGTGGTTTCTTTTTTGAGGGGGCTTGGTTTTTTATTTTATTTTAGCTATCTCATTTCTTGGAGTATATTGTGTGTGTGATGTGGCTGTGATGACAGGTGTGGAGTCAAAGGGTGTATACTTCAGTGATCTGCAAGATGAAAAGTAATCTTCCAGAATACTGCCCTGGTACAATGTCATCTTGTTGATAAGCTGTAGAAATCATAAAAAGGGGAAAAGTCATGATCCCCTGCAGTTCCTCAGTGATGATGTTAATCTGCTGTATCCTAAATGCACAGGCACGGTAATGTCTAGTGTTTTGCTCAGACTGCTTCGGATCATAGCTCACAGAAATTTTAAACCATGTGAAATACTTGAGATGATAGCAGATTTGAGTAGTGGATGATTTCTTTAGTGTTGCCCTTGACATGAATGGAAAACAGCTTACAACTTGCGTATTCGACACAACCTGGAGGAGTGTGGAAGCCCCCCAAAAGCTATCCTCTCTTTTAAGCTACAGAAAAGCCTGTAATTCCATCTGTTCCATAAAACCAAACATGTTATACAAAATCAGAGAATTAACCAAGATAGAGAGCAACAATACCAGGGAAAAAAATAAAACCATCAGCAACAACAGCAAAAGCAAAGGCTTTTTTATCCTTTGCAAGGGCTCTGCAATGGACAGGGCTTTTGTACCCCTGCCTTCTTTTTGTCCCTTTTGGAAGGTTTTCCCAAAGCGTCTGAAGGTCTGGACCATCAGAGTGGTCCCTGACTTATTTTTCCCCCATGTACACCTGAGCGAACTGATCCTCTTTCCCTGTAGCAGGTGGATTTCCCAGAGGCGTTTTCTGGAATGAGCAGCTGTTCTCATCTTCCTCAGCCTTCCTCCCCTTGACCCCAAATAAAGCAAATTTCTCTTTACCCACAAATGAACACTGTCAAAGTTCACTTGAAATGGGATGGACATGACAGGCAGCAGCTCAGTTTGCAAGCCTGGAGAGGTCTACACCTGCTCTGTCACATTGCTGTCATGCTTATGTGTGACTGAGAGTTGAGATTTAAGACTTCCAGACTGCTGGACAAAAATAATAACAGAAATAAAAGGAATCAGCACTGCATGCTGTTAAGAACAGGATAGGAAGGATACCCCAGTGATTGCTGTGGGCTGAAATTTTGCACATCTCCAAACAAGTAACTCATTTTAGGCTCTGGAAAAGAGCTGAAGGCCTGTTGTATGCAGAGATATTTATCATCCTATCAGATTGCTTTATTATTATTATTCATTTGAAAATTATTTTTTTAAGGATTGTGTTGTGTGCATAATTTCACAGTAGGCAATGAAGAATGAGTTTTTTGTTGTTACTCTACTTCTTTCAGTAGTATAATAAAAAAATTAACAACCAGTTATTACTGCAACTAAAGCAATAATCCAAATTGCCCAGTTTCTGCTGGAGATTGTTACAAATGCCATAAAATCAACAGGCATTGCAATCTACTTCTTTCCTCTGCTACTAAACTCTTGACTTGTAGTTGTATCATGAGAGTGAGCTTTCAGCATCTTGGTTCCTTCTTGAGCA